AAATTCCTTCAGGCTAGAAACTTGGCCTATTTTTACATTTGGAAAGCATGTATTTCTTCAAAATATAGTGGTGACAGAACACTTAGGTTATATTAGCTTGTTGAGAAGACATAAGAAGTCAACACTCAAGTGCTACTGGAGAACCTGGGTGTTGGTTCATCACTTTGAAACTGAAGGGAAGCTGGGGTGGAGATGGGGGGAAGGAGAGCGATGGTGGGCCCTGGGCAGTCCCTTACCTCCCTGTCTTCGTGACCACCCTTTTTCTTCAGGATAAAATGACTGTAAAGGAGAGGGTTGGCCCCCTCGATTGGCTTCCCATGAGGCGGCTTATGAGTTGGTTCCCTTTTACAGTGCCAGCTGGCTGAGAAACCTCCCCTCCTCAGGTATACCCTGGGGGCAACGCTAAGTCAGAGTGACTGGCTGGAAACAGGATATGATTTCACAGGAAACTATTCTTGCTCTACTTTGAAGGAGTATCATTTTATAGTTCAGTGAAGACTCCTAAGGAAGCCCTAACAAAGAAATATAGCCGTAATCGGTGGATTGGTCTATGGTCAGTTTTCTTGGTTCACTACTGTATGTGAATAAAAGAAGCAGATACGCAAGCTTTTACTTGAATATGCCCTCTTCCTCCTTGAGCTTTCCAGGAAGTGTAATGTAAAATTTTCCTGAAAGTACTTTGGCAATAGCACCTACCTTGGTATTTCGTATCATAAGCAGAGGGACATTTCATAACCAAATCACACATTTCCCTCATTTTACCCAGAAGAGAATGGATGTCCAGGGAGATTGAGTGACTTGGCAAACAAACATCTCCTAGCTAGTGAGAAATATGAGTCCGTATCATGCATGAGCAAGTTGCTATTGCCCAGTGCTTCCTGAGGGTCAGGCAGTGTACTTTACATAACCTTCTTTAATCTGCACAAGGTAGATATTAAAAAGCCAGCCATACATGCCATTGATTGAGCCCTTCTTTGTGCCAAGTGTTTTAATATATTATCTCTATCATCAACCTTCTGATGTAATTATTCCTATTTTACAAATGAGAGAACTAAGGTGCAAAAGCCTTGTCCAAGTCCACTTTAAAATAAAAAGCCAGCAATTCTCATCAAGGGCTGCCCCTTACACCCAAGTTTGTGTTCTTTTCATGGTATAACAGGTTTTCAAATTACAGGCCACAATGATGATAGTAAACTCAGTTTGGTGGGTTCACTGGCATTTAAAAATAAATAAATAAAAAGAACAGAATGAAAAGGGTAGCAGAATTTAAAAACAGACTGTATCACATCAGTTACAATATAATGAAAAAAAGTTTTTCGTGTGTGTGTGTGTGTGTGTGTGTGTGTGTGTGTGTGTGTGTGTGTGATATGATATAAACATACTTCTTGTGGATTGTGGTCAGACCTTGAAAGACACTACACTACAACATAACTAAAATGTCTAAACCTTAACAAAACATTGATATACACTGCAGCTACCGCACTGCGGGATCTTATTAAAGCAGTCCCAGGATCTGCTTTGGATCCTTCCCATCACATCCTCAGTGGTACTGGTGTTGTATTCCATCAGACTTGACTGGCAGAGCAGTCACCCCCCCCACACACACACACACCAAGAGTCTGACTTGTGGCAGGAGGAACATGGATTGACACACCCGAGTCCATGCCAAGACAACTCTGCAAGTCCATACAGGCATCTCGTGTGTGACAAAAGTCTATAAAATAGACGTCATCATTCAGTGCAAAAGATGGCAGAGTCCATACGTACACCTTGAGTCATTGCTGTTTTTCTATCACTAGGTTATTATGAAATAAGAGACTTTACAATCCACCCACAAACAATAGATGAGTAGAGTTGGAAAGAGCACAATTCATTTCGTATTCACGAGCAAGTTTTAGTTTTTTTACTAACAGTGGTTAGTCTTTATGAAGGCTCTGTATTTCATGTCAGGGATTTAAAGATAGATAAGACTGAAATGAGAGAAAGTGAGCCGAGATGCTGGGTACCGATCAAACTTTATTAAAGGAAAAGAATCTACTGGGCTGCGCTCAAAGTGGGGAACAGCCCGGGGCTGCCCTGAAAATGGGGGACAGCAGCAACCATGGGTCTGTGAGGGTTTATATTAGCTGTTAGGTGTGAAATGTATGGGGGGAGGGACCATTAGGTTGGTGTAACTGGGTGGAGAACTGCGCCAATGCAGAAGCTGGAAAGTTGTTTCTAAGTCAGGAGGCTTCCTGTAAAGGGAAGTGGGGAGGGACCTGGTGCTGGAGTGGAAGACGAGGCCGGCAGCTGTTTCGTGCTGGTGCTTATTGTGTGCGCAATGGCGCCGGCCCTGTCCAAAATCCATCGTGAAGTTCAAAGCCTAGTGGGTAATCCAGGTGTAGTAACATCACAGAGGGGAAACTGAAAAAGGATACAATGTAACATTAACTGCAATATTAATTAGTTCAACTCTATATAGAAAATGTGAAGGAAGAACTTTGGTAGTGTGATAAAAATAACTAGATTGGTTTGGTAGAGGGAACTAAAATTTAGATTCTTATTAGAATGATCTCCTATTTTAAAAGAAAAAATATATATTGCCATTTCATTTTAGAGTTGAATTGACAAAACTAGTATCCCAGGTACTTATTTGATAGCTTGTTTTCGGGATATTATACTAGATTTGGGAAGACATCTGCAAAAAGACTGAGGATCTACAGTGTTAGTCCACTGAACATTTTGTACTTACTGTCTCTGTGGTTGGCATTGTGGGCAATAAAACTACCTCACCTTGACTGCTTTCTATTCATC